TATTTAGAGCTCTCTTGACTAACGTAAGTTCAAAGTGCATGTTGGTTAAGAAGGACGCTACTACTGACAGACCTCTTGAATCATATCTCTCTCGTTTCGCCTGCAGCACAATATATACATTGCTAATATATCTAAACTTGAGAACTGCGTTATGTCGATGTTTGAAGACGATTTTATTCTCGACAATCTTAATCTTCGATATGTTGTACATTCTATGAAATACACTCATACATCTTAAGAGCGACTTTCAGAAGTGGAAATTTATGGCAAATAATCTCGAAATCTTAATGATTTATTTATATAGAAAGCGTAAACACTGCTTTTGGTCCAAAGAAATTTTATATAAAACAATTTTTTTATAGCTTGTGGACGCAGAGTCAAATTCTTTGGAGTGATGCTGTACTCTGAGGTGAGGTTTGTGGTATATATTTCATATATTGTTCACAAATCCAGTTAATTTATAAAAACTTTATATACTTTCACATATTTAAAATTTAAGGTGAAAAGAGTTTAATCCTTAACCTTTAAAACTTTTGAAAATTAATCTTTTTTAATCATTTAATATGAATTACTATTAATTAATAATTAATTATTAATTAAAAAAAAATAATTATCATACAAATGATCATAAAATCATAATTATCATATTATAAGTTCGTATATTTTATGGAAAATTATCTTTTGTGCTTCAATAGTCTCCTTTTAGTTCGACACACTGAGTCCAACGATCTTTCAACATTTGGATACCTTTTAAATATTACGATTTAATAAGTTCTCCAAAATATATTTCAGTTTCCCATTCCACTTCATCATTTGATGCAAATCTCTTTCCCTGGAACCATCTTTTCAAGTTTAAAAACAGATAACAATCACTGGCAGCCAAATCTGGAGAGTTTGGTGGGTGAGAAAGCACTAAAGAATTCGTACCGTATTTTATTTCATTGTGCCATGATTTTCATTGATATGTGAGCGGTGCATTATCCTCAAAAACAAAATTTATTTCTTCGACAAATGTGGTCATTTTTTCTTAATTTCCTCATTCAATTGACACAATAATATGCAATAGCGTTATTTTTTAAATAGTTTATGAAAATTAATACATTTGAATCTCAAAATACGGAAGCTGAAAATTTTCTTAGCAGTTGTTGAGTTCGTTATCGTTTGGAAGCACTACCTAGGCTCTACGCATTCTCTGGCCTCAGATGTGAAGTAATGGATCCATGTTTCATCAATTGCTACTACTCGATTCTATTCGCTCACAGTCAGCTAGATAGTGCATAAATATTTCCAAATCCTCTTTTGGAGAACCCGAAAGCTTTTCATTAAATACACTCGTACTACCACGTTTAAATCCAGTTTTCCAATACTTTATTGTTGTTAACGATGGTGCATGGTTTTCGTAAACACCATCCATTCCCAATTTAATTGAGTCATTGCTCATTCATTTCAAATGTAGGAATTTTATTTATATTCAATTTTTCCATTTTATAAAAAATCACCAAACATCTGATGAAGTTGAAACTTTTAGAGCTGTAGTTTAAAAGTTGCGAGATATACAAAATATAGTTGCCACCTGTTTTGAAGTTAGGTAATTATCAATGTATCTGGTATATGCAGATGTTACAAATTCAAATTTTGTCGGAAGTTACTAAAGGAATACATTGATTATCACGCTTTATACGCCTCTAAAGTCTAAAACTTCTTATACTTAATTTTTCTATATTTGACTTTAAGTTTTAATTAAGAACCAGTAGAGGAAACTTAATCATGGTTTTTAAAAAACTTTTTTTAATAAAATTATTCTTAAACCATGAAAGGGGGGAAGAAAGTGAGCTTATAAGGTAAAGGATACTTGGTAAATGCCATAACAATCCTTCTTGCTATTCTCTTAGAGTTGCCACACTGCCTCCATGTGGCCCCCTCATCAAAAGTCCATAGACTAAATATGTTTAGTATGACAAGGTCAAATAAAGTTAAGATGATGTTGTTAACATTAGCAGCAATACTTATGTTACTATTCCCATAGCCATAGATATTTTCATTGTTCCATTTTGATTCCATTGTTACTGACAAAATACGAGTAAAGTTCTTATTTTTCCTACATTGGTCAGCATAATCATTAAAATCTTAATCAGCATTGAATTAGTTTTGATTGCTTATAGTAATTTAAGTTGTGATCATTCGATGACAATCACCCCATCAATGACTGACTGCGAGTCCACCGAAGTTGAATTAGTACATCAAGCCATCAAAAACGTTTAGTTTGATGCCGCACTGGCCATTTAGAAGCGTTTCAATTGCGCATGACTGCCACTTTCATAGCGCATTGCCGCATATCAACTCCGGCATTGGCAAACTCCCAACACTCCAAACTCCGTTAGAATTGATTTCATTTTGATCGGCGGCACTTTTTCACTAAGCAACGATTGTGATCAATCATGCATACATGCTTCCATCGGCCAACATTCTCGAACGTCTTTCGACCGATAAACTCAATTATCGTTTTTAAATATTTAGTTCTCGATTGCCACCGTTGATAGTGCGTTAAGGTGCGAAACAAGTGCCGTTGGGGATTATTGGCAGTGCGCACTGTGTAAATGAGTGGGGTGCAATTCTTCGTGAAGTTTGTTAATCTTATAGCCGTAAAACCAGTGCACAGCTGACAAATCCACTGGATATACTTTGAGCTTCCACTACCTATGACTATTTCTCTTCTTCTTATCTTTTATTTATTTCTTATTACTTTTTTTTTTTCTTTTTTTTTTTGAAGTTTATGTGTAATTTTTCCGCTTATTGCCGGTTGCGATGTTGCTTCAATATATTCTATTGCACCAACTACTCATTTTGTACACTCGTAGGGGGACGGAAATTGGTGCAACTGCTTCGGTATTGTGTGTGGAGTATGCGGAGCAGTGCCTGATATTTTTCTATTAAAATTGCAAAATAAACTGGGTTGGCTAACGAACGGTTTTCTGTTTAGAAAAATTAATTATAATAATGATGAAAAATTTCTCAATTACTTGTATTGTTCTCGTCTCAGGTAAACGATTTTTAACTCTTATGGGAAATATCTGAGCTCTGCTCTTTGCCTGTGTTATTTATTGTTATTATTATTATTATTAATTTTGCGCTGATATTGTTTAATAAAACTTAATAATATCATACTTTGGCCGAAGAAAACTAATTTCTTTAGTTGAAAAAATTTACACTTTTTATGTTGATTACATGTTCAGACCCAAATGGTGTGCTTCACACTTTTTATAATTTCATGTTGAATCCGGGAGCGTTTACAAATAATTAAATTGTAATAAAAGGTATTGCAAGTAAAATTAGATTTTGGAGTGTTTATATGCTATAATTTCAAAATATATTCTAATAAAAACTGCAATCAACCTAAATATTTTTAAATATTTAATTTTTGTTTTGAGATTAGAATCTTAAATATGTTGGCATAATTTCGTACATCGTGTACATAAAGTAGATGGTTCATGGCTTAAATATATATGATTTGCACATAGCATAGAAAGAATAGAAAATCAACGAGATATTGACTACCGGGGAGTGGAACACTGCGACTATAATTGATATTTTGGCTTACTTACTGACACCTATTGAACAGACGACATTAGATGAGGATTGACAGTCCCCACACACAACTAGCATTTTCCTCTTGGGTTAGATCAAAACGAAGTATGAGACTAGAGCACTTTAAGCAAACTCACTGAGACTTAAGACGTAAAACTTTTTACGAGTAAAACCTATCAAAATTTTAGGAGCATTCTTTTTGCTTCACGTTTTCTTTTGGAGATTGCGAATATTTTTTTGCTACTCTGAAAGAAAAAATTGCGACTCTTGTTGTTATATTATATGAAAAATAATTAAAATTTGACATAATAATCAAGAACTGTAAATCACAATTTATTGAAAAAGTGATCAAAATTTACTTATGTATCTAGTTAGATTTTGCATATCACTTTTCATGAAAATATCATATAGTATCAAAATTCCAAAATTAAACAAATAACGCACCATATGTTATACTCTCCCTTAATTTTCAAAAATTATATAAATAAATTAATCCGTGCGGCTTAAGTACTATATATTTTCAAAACTGACAGTAGACTTAAAATGTATAATACTATAATACTTTTATTTCAATTATATATTATTTAATGGAACTCGAATGAGTTTTGAGTTCATAAACACTATAAAAAAATAATGATTATTTATCGCATAAATACACATGAATATACATAGATTAGCAAACAAAACACCTTCAATATCTGTCCAACAATAATATTCAATAATATCCACGAAAAAATATTCAAATACGACGAGGACATTCTTGCGCATATTAGAAAAAGGAGATATCAAAACTAGTCTACTTCAAATTAGCACCTACAGTTTTCTGTAGGTTCAAAAAACTACATGATTTTGATCAATTAAAAATAAAAAAATTAAAAGAAAAAATGTTTTCTTAAATTTTAAGATATGAGGTTCTTTGAAATAATAACCGACTATTTCCGAAATACATTTTTAAGTGCATAATTTCTAAGCCAAGAAAAGTTAAGTGATTTCGATTATTCCAAACAGAAAAATATGAAATAGAATAAAAACCGATGTATTTTTTTAGATATTCGACTTATCTATCCTTAAAATGTATCGGTTTTGTGACGGAATGTTCGTATACCTTTTGACGCACCAGTGAGTCTAGTTCTGAAAATAGATCACTCATCCCATTAGGATAGTTTTTCTGTTAGGAATGAGTAGTCTCCACCTGCATTTATGACATTCCAATTAGAAATTAATAATAAATAATAAATTTGCATATAGAAATATAAATACATTATCATTACAAATGTATACGTAAAAACACCATCGAGCTTTTCATACAAAATTTGAATATTTTTGTGACAATGTGAAGCAAAGACTTATTTTGCCAATGAAATTTTTACTTTTATTTTTTTAAACAAAATCAATTTTTAAAATAAAGGGTTGAAGGGTTTAAGTATAAATTTGAAAAGAATATTCGCAATCAGGTAATCCAAATTTTCTCCAGAAATCTTCGGGTCTTCAGTTATATTGTCTAAAGGGTATTGTAGTTTCATATTACCTAATTATGAAAAAATTGAAATGATTGATGAATTCAGTTGTGGTTTTAAGAAAATTACCAAAATCGTCAGTTATCATATATCTTTAGCATCCACTTTGTGCGTCTATAGAGTTTAGTCGGAAACAGTGTAAAACCCGAAAATATGAAAATTAGTCTGTTTGCTTTAATAGGAACTAAGTTCAAATATTCAATATCCATTAAGATACTCACATTATTCAATATTGTATCTTTTCTGAATTATTTGAAACCTAGAAGAAAAGTATTAATCTGTATTAATAAACAGTACATAATTTATAATTCACCCACAATGTCATGAATCTTACATGTAATTAAAATTTTTTGGTTTTATTTGAGCTATACGAGCAAATTGGAGTTCTGGAACTATTAATATGTACAGTATGCAATTGTAAACTTATATCCAAAGTCCTCAAATCACCCAGCCAGTTGACACATTATTTGCGTGTCAAGTTGTTTCTTCATAAATTAAAATGGTTATCTATTGAAAAATGTTAAAATTATAGTATATATAATAGATTGAGCAAAATAATCATCTTCTAGTAAACACTTAATCATACTATAATCATAATAATCATATATTATAAATGAATTACACACAGATTTAAATAGTTAATCTAGTAATCAATTGCATGCGCAGATATCGGTAGGCTTAATATTTCGCTATATAAATTCGTGTAACCCGATGTGTGTAGCAAAAAGAATTCGATAAGGATTATACCTTCACACCAAATCGGCTCTTAAGAATAGTTTTGTGAAAAGATTTATGACATTTAAAAACATTTTAAAAAAGTTTAATTTTCAGCAAAACAAACTTCTTATACCCAGAGAGCATATTAAAAGAAACAAAATATTACAAGAGAGTGTTGTGTTTGATACAAGATATGGTGTGGTAAAAACAAAATATCGGATAGATATGATTGAAACAGTATATATTGTGCGTCACAGTCTATTAAGAGTATTATAGTATGAATTAGAGAAGGGACATGAAATCTGGATTTCATTTAAATAAAAACAACGTGTTAATTAAGTTTATGATTATGTCAGAATTTACCTACAATGCGTTATAAGTATACAAACTCAACGATTCCTTTTCTTTTTTCTATTTCTTTTACGAGTTTTCGTTGAGTTTGCCCTTGTTCTACAATGTTGACCAGGGTATGAAGGTAATGAAGGTAAACTCAATATACTTGATTCCGAACTGGAATCCGAAAACTCTGAATTGCATTTTTCAATCGCAGTGGTGAATCCATTCATTAATTTGTTGTTAAATGACAAAGCTTGCGAATCGCCTTCCAAGAACTGCCTATATGATAATTCATCATTACTGATTGAAGATACAGAAATAAGTTTCGGAAATTGCAGTGTTCGACGTAAGCTTTGTTGGTCAATTTCATTTCCATTTTGTGATTCTACTTCATATGATTTGTATTCACAATAGCTCTCACCTTGATGTGATAGATTTTCGGACAGAGTAGGTGTAGAAGTGTATTCAAATGTACGAAAAGAAACTTCGCTAGCATTACATTTCGAACATATTTCCGAAATGTTTTTTATATGTTCTTCGTACTTACAACTACTTATAGTACACATGCTGCTAATACTACTCAAACTACTCATACTCGTCGTACTACTATCCACTGACAAATTTTCCGAATTATTTTCTGTATCGCGGTACGAATTTTCATAATTTTTTTTTATAAAAAATGAAACGAAAGCCGAAAATTTTGAACGTTTTGTAGCATCCTCCTTTAATAGCCTCTTTAAGGCAATTTCGAAATTTTGGGTAATTGTTCGCTTGTGAGTTCTTTTATATTTCCTTATTTCCTTTTTAAAATATTCAATAATCCTCTTTTCATTTCGACGATATTTTATTAGCTCTGCCTTAAATCCTTTAAGTATTTTCTTTTGTGAATGTGCAGACCCTTCTTTTTTGGCACGTCCCATAGTTATAACTTTTTACAAATAGATTTTGAGTTGACTAGTAAAAATTTAATTGGCCGTTTTTTCTGTAATTGACTATACCTGAAAATTTATTTGAATGAATTAAAAGAAAAATTAGTTTGAGTTAAAATTTGAGTTGAAAATTGTGCTTACTTTGTGAAGATTATTAAAAGTATTTCAATATCAAAAAAATCAAGTGGTGTCTAAATATAGTATAAATAAAATATAGTATAAATAAAATTTCTGGACTACAATTTTTTGTTAGGCACATGCCTCTAGCCTTTCATTGTGTTTTGTTGCACTGAGATTTGTTATGATGCTACCTAGCTATTTAAAGGAATGTACTAGCTTTATTTCTGCATTTGGACTTTTTGGGCTTAATAACTGATCGATAAAGTCTAGTATCCCGGTGTGCGTTAATTTTTCATTTGATACGTAGTTGTATAAATTTGACGGGTATTTCTATCACTGATAATAGTATATAAGCTGAAAGTTTTGTGCCATACCTGCCCCGTAAATTGATGATACCGCTTATAGCGACATCAAAAAGATATGTAGTTAAAATTAAATGAATGTTATTTGCTATGATTACCTTGTTTAGAGATTAGTTGAACAATGATATTACTTTGGGTCGTGCTTCCGCTTTTTTGACTTGATGGCAGTTTAACTGTCCATGAGATAGCTGAGATAGCTAGCTATAATATATCTTAATACATCTTACAATCCACTTGATAGATGGTTTTAATTTGAGTTTAGAAAATACTTCATTAGTTCGGAAGTTTGAAGGTAATTAACCTTGCAATACCTTAATTCTTCGGTAGCAAAAATATATCGAGACTTATTCGTTTAAAATATTCATGCTGCCACCCATTATCAATGTTGATCGTTGCTCAAAAATATGTTTAAATTACTTTTTAATTTGTTTTACATATTTTAAAACACTAAATTATATTTTGACGAGTATGCAAATTTTACCAAATTAAAAAGCAATTTTTTACAATTTTTTGTTCATATATTTTTTTCATTATTATTTTTAATATTGGGTGTTGTGTCATTTTATTCAACAATTCAGTGAATAATTGACTATAATTGCTTCAATATTAAAGCCCCACTAATCAGAAAAAAATAAGCAGACAAATAGGCTAAAGTACATATAGACAGTCGCTTGCCATACCATTAGCCCACATGAAAATTGTCTACCGGTGCGTATGAGGCATTTGCAGAGATTTTCATAGGAAAAACGATAGAAAACATTTATGTCTCCAACACCCAACGCCACAGAGTGTCTCTACTGGGATATGGTAAAGAGCAAACACCTGCGTAAAACTGTGTCACTGTGGTACGAAGTCTGATGGCCTGAAGTAAAGTAGACTAAGGTGACGTACAATAGCACGCGCTCGAGTTGTGTTGAAGTACAGTACGGAGCGAAGTGTTGTGATACTGTTTGCTCGAGCACTACTCATAAGCGTGAATATCAACAACTTATAATTTAAAAGTAATTGTTATTTATTTATTTTTTGTTGTATATAGAAACTAGCATCTGTGAATTTATTAAGATACTCGCTAGCTTGTATCTTTACGTTACATTATGTCACATTCCTCCAACTATGAAGCTATGGCATAATTTTAATGTGTGGCAGCACAGAGTCAGTCAGCCTATGCATTTGCGGGTGCTACGAAAAATTTAATTAATTTTTTTAATATTTGCATACTGGCGTTGTTTATTGGTTTTTTTTTTTTTGGTTAGTAAAAATTTATTTATTTATCTTTTTTTCAAATCAAATTTGTGCATAATTCTAAGATTTTTCAATTTTGGTTTTGGCTTTGGCTCGAGTGGCTGAGTGGTGTTTTTGGAGTGTACTAAACGTATGTTTATTTTATATCAAGTTTTTGAGCAATCGTTATTATGGAGCTCTTGTGTACTTACAGCTCTAGGCAGTTTGCTTTATTACTATTTTTATTACTACAACAAAACTATATCCCGCTATTTCTTTAACAAATTGTATCTTTTATGTATAGCAAAACAACAACATTATATAGCAATACGAGTAATTGATCTATTGTTTGTTGATTTTTGTTTATCTCTAAGGTTCATAAAAGGTTTATTGTCTTGTAGTGCTGGTAGCATCATCAAAAATATTGCAGATTCAAAAATTAATGAAATATATAATATAATTGCTACATTTTGGATTAATAGAGTTGATAGCATTTAGCACCTGTATTTCTTTCTACATACGAATAATCCGCAAACTATGTCTTTGTAATTTTGAAATCATCTTCTTTTATTACTATAGAATGACAGTATGAATATCGGCAAATTTTACAAGTAAAAATATAAATATAATTGATTAATTCAATTATTTTACAGCTGATTTATGATTTCGTTCTATTATTATATAACATAGCAAGTAAATTTGTTAATGAACTTTCACAGTAAATTAACAAAACTCCAAGTTCGAACATAGAAGACAAGTACGTCTTTGGCTTAGTTGGTTGAGGAGCGCTGACTTTGAGCTTCAAATTTGGCAGTGCACGAGTTCAACCCTTGGTACTTGTAATATCAAAAAATTATTTACGAATAATTAAATATGAGATCACTGATATTTCCAAGACCACTGATAATATCAATACCACTGATGCACAAAACGGGTGTTAAAAATCAATTTAACATAAAAATAAATAATCTAAAAATAATGCCATTCAGAAAATTTATCTAATAAAGAACTCTAAATCAAAAACAAAAATTTTCAATGCATGTTTTGAAAAAAAATTTTTGTTTTAAATAATCATTTAATATTAATAACTGCATATAAACAATTTTTATTATTTATAATATTTACAAACAAATAGTGAGTGTCTATCATTTGCAAAGCCTGAGATATTAAAAAACCCTAGAGTCTGTAACTGCTAAAAAGTTTTTATTTAAAAAAAAAGCTCTGAATAAAAATTTTAGCCAAATCGATTGTCATGAGGTCATAAATTGTTTCGCATATAAAACAATGAACCATGTACAGACTTTAATATTATGTACACGAATAACTGTATATAATATATCTATATATATAACAATTGCTTTTTAAAGTTTATTTTTTTCATGGTAATCGATGAATTACTAATTATGCCGGTTACTGCACCTTTGCTCACAAGTTGCTGTTCACTTAGAAGTGGGGATTTTTAAGTAAATTTTCCACTTCAGTAGTCAATACATATAGACCACATTTGTAGTTCAATATCCTAGATTTTATAGCAATATTCTAAAGTTATTAGTTACACCCATTTCTAAATAGCTTCGGTACTAAAATTCGTTGGGTTGACTCACAATTCATATTTAACTACAATTCATACATATTAAAATACAATATATATATATTTAAATATATATATATATATATATATCATCTTTTGGAACATTAAGTAAAGTTATATATAACTAATTTTTTCTCTGTAATAGACTATATATAGTGACAAATTTAACGCACCCTTTATACGACGCATATGAAGGTAAAAAAATTTAAAATGATATATCCTTGAGATGGTAGGAGCATTTTTTCAAGTAGCCACAGCAACACACAAACGTTCCCGCCTGCTGTGCCAAACTTACCCAAATCAATTTATATAAATCAGCCCAAAACGCTTTAAGGTCAACAGTATCAACACCAACAGCAACAACAAAAACATGAACATGATGAGCAATTTATTGTGTCAAACTCAATTATACTCGTGTGATATTCTCGTAGCCCTCACAGAAAAAAACCAACAACAACAACACTAACAAAAATGTAACATAAAAGAATAAAAACACAACAAAAAAAATTAAGAAACTTTTTTGAGCAGCGGCGTAGTAGCAGCGAAGTGAGAACAATAAAAATGGCGTTGAAAGCATTCAAAGCTTCTGCTTCTTCGTCATTCCATTACGTTCTCAGGGAAACACTGGGCCATTCAAAGCTTAATGCAAGTTAACTACGTTGCTAGGGAATCTAGCTGTCGTATGTGCTTGTGTTCTTCGCGTATATCAGTTTGTACTTAAGTCCCCTTTGTGTGAGTTTCGTAACGGCTGCACTGCAGTAAGTGAAAAATGTCTTTAGAGAAAAAAATTTCAACAGAAATTTTTTGGCAAAAGGTTTTTAAAAAATAAATAAAAAATAACTTTTTTCCAAAGGTTGAGAATTTTAAGGCAAAACGTGGTACACGAAACACATTCCAAAGTGCAGCAAAGCATTCAAACAGTGGCCAAGAGGAAGAAATTAAATAATAAAAGCATATAAAATCATTAAAAAAATGTGCATGCATGCAGCAGCTGCCGAACACAAAAAAAGCACCTTTTTAACCAAAGCCAAAGTCAAAGCCAAAGTCAAAGCCAAAGCCAAAGCCAAAGCCAAAGTCAAAGCCAAAGTGATGAGACATTTTTTTATTCCTTATTTGTTTTGTTGTTCTTAGTGTTCTTAGTCTGACGCTTGTGCTCTTTCTGTCTTTGTTGTTCTTTTTGCAGAGAAGAAATTTGTGCTGAATGTGACGATGACACTTTCAATTGGTTATCAACGGCTTTAAAAAATTTGTTAATAAGCGGTTGCCAATCATTTTTGTTCTTTTCTTTTTGTTTATGTTCATTTGTACGATTGATGATTTTTGGAGTTGTATTTTGGGCTAAATTTTTCACTTAAATACTTTAAATGTCTTCATAATTACATGATGACTAAGTGACTTTGGACGTCAACCGACAGATACACTGAGGGAATAATGTGTAATACGCGACTCATACGATGTATGCGACTCAACTGTAGTGAACTGTTGGTAGTGCTATTATAGCCTCTGCGGAAAGGCACCTAAAACTGAATCTAAAAGCGTGTTTACGTCTCTAATAAAAATGTTCCTTCATCTTTAAATGTCCTCTATATGTAGTTGGATAGACCTGTTGGTAGTGTTATTGAAGCCTCTACTGAAAGGTAGCTAGAAGCAAGTCAGTAGTATATTTACGTATTAGGGTGGATCTGTTGATAGTGTTATTGAAGCCACTACAGAAAGGTAACTAGAAGCAAGTAGTAATGTTAGTAATGCAATGTTGTTGTAGTTT